CCTACACTGAAGGGGACAGACCAGATGAGGCCAGAGCTGCCACCAGCTGGAACAGATCTGCAGTCAACAGGTTAATGAGGAAAAGTACACCCCTGAGAAAACACAGATAAAAAGAGGCTCTCTCCATGGGGCACCTGGGTGGCTCAGTGGGTTAAAGCCTCTGCCTTCGGCTCAGGTCATGATCCCAGGGTCCTGGAATCGAGCTCCGAGTTGGGCTCTCTGCTCGGCGGGGAGCCTGCTTCCCTTCCTCTCTCTCTCCCTGCCTCTCTGCCTACTTGTGATCTCTGTCAAATAAATAAATACATAAAAATCTTTAAAAAAAAAAAAAAAGAAAAAAAGAGGGGCTCTCCAGAGGAGATCCGGCACTTAGGACACAGAAGGGGAGAAATGTTTCCTCTCTGTTATGGACTGAAGTTTTGTGTCCCCCCCAAAATTCATACGTTGAACCTCTCATCCCCATTGTGATGGTAGTTGGCAACTTTGAGAATGAGGTTATAAGGGTGGAGGCCTTAGGAGTAGGAATCGTGCCCTTCCTTATAAGAGGCACAAGAGACCTCCCCCATCCCACACCATGTGTGCACACAGGAAGAAGGTAGGTTCCTACAAGATGGGAGGAGACCTCTCACCTGAAGGCAACCCTGTTAGCATCTTGGTCTTGGACTTCCTACCTCCAGAGCTGTGAGATACACATTTTTGTTGTTGAAGCCCCCTGGTGTGATATTTCATCATAGCAGCCCTAGCGGCCTAGGACAACCTCTCACCCCTGGCATCGAGAAAGCAGAGGTCTCGTCTGTGTTCCTGCCCCTTGCTGTGCATTCACTGAGCAAAATATTTATAAAAGCACTTGCTCTGGTCCTGGACTGGGCTAGGGGCTGGGCTCCAGAACTGCTTCAATGGGGAGCTATCTGGTCAGATGTCCTGCAGCGGGGATTTTAACCTGAACCCTAAATGATGAGAAGGAACCACCACAGGCAGGTCTGGGCAGATGGAACAAGTGGGGCATGCTTCAGGAACAGAAAGGAAACTGACACAACATGCCGTTGTCCAGATGGATGGTGTTGAGGCATTGGGGTCCTAGGCAGAAGCTGAGATCTCCCTGTCTTGCATCCCACTTCGAGGGGCAGGAGGCTGGAGTGGTTATGGGCACAGACTCCCACCAGACAGCCAGTGTTCAAATCCCAGCCATGCTACTGACTCATTGTGCAATTCTGGATTAGGTTCTTGACCTCTCTGTGCCTCAGTTTACTCACTCATAAAATGGGGGATAATTATAACAACTATCTCAAAGGATTGGCATAAAGATTGAAAAAATTAGGATAGCACCTCTCACGTAGGAAGGGCTGCACAGGTCATCCAGCATCTGCACATTTAATGTCATTGACCTTCTTTAGAAGTATTTATTGTCTTTAAACAACTCAGAAACATCTCTGGCAGACAGGGGACTTGTAAAAACAATCCATTTCCTCTCACGCTAAGCCAGAGACTTTGGTGTGTCTTCAGTAACCCGGATAGAGTCTCCAGAATAATTCGACTTTTAAATGATGTATTTGAAAATGAAGTTTGCAAGGACTGAGTTCTTGACCACATAAATTCCAGTTCTGTGCTCTCTGGGGCCATCAGGCCCTGTTGTTTTCCTATCACATGCCACAGCCAATTTTTTTCAGTTGCTAATTGTGAGAAATGCACTGGAAACATCTCCGACCTCAGAGAAAAGTCCAGTAGGCCTCAAAGGAGAGAGCTGTGGGTGGAGAGACCAACATTTTTCCAAGTGATGTGGGTCTCTTAGTCCCAGAGCAGGGTCCTGAGCCTGATTTGGAAAGTGGGGAGCATTTCCTCAGAGCAGACGTGGCCTCTTCTTTCCCATTCTCCCAGAGCTGAGCCAACAGGTCTGCTTATAGTCTCTTCAGGAATCCTGAGAGATGACTCCAAGACAGAGTATTTCAAAACTGAGCAAAGAATGAAGAAAGTATCAAATCCATGTACAGGGCACAGGCAGGTCTCTAAGCCTCATGTTTGGGCTTAGAGAAGATTCAAGAATGGCAGACAGTGTTAAGTTATCTCAGGAATTTCTGAATAGGTTTTATAACATGGAAATTACATTTAGGAGTTTCTAATGAACAGAAAATAGGCTTCATTCTTTTCTCTTCGGCTTCCCTTTCCCTTTCCCTGACTCTCTCTGGAAGGAAGAAAAAGGGGTGAGCCATGGTAAAAAGGGGTGAGTGTTGGGGCCATGGAAGGACCAGATCGCCTCTACAAATCTCCATCAGAGCAGAGGGTGGATTGGGGAAGCAGCTGAGGCTCCTGCCCAACCTCCCTTTGTAAATCAAGGCCTTCCCCCTCCTCCTTTCCCACTGGCCTTTCCCCCCTCCCTGCCCCCAAGTCCACTGCTCTACTTTCCCTAATTGACAAACACATTCAAAAGTTTCCAAACACTATCATTTCTGTTAATGTTCAGCAATGTCCAAATAATACTTGCAAAGAAGTATGATATTATTAATTTAACCTTATTAATAAAGTTAAAAATAGCCAAACAACTGCAATGCAACTGATTTTTAGTGTACCTATAGAGAAATATAAAGTAATCTGATTATTGAGAGTCCCTCTGATTTAAAAAGTGATCCGTTTTATATTTTAAAACATACAGCATAAGTAAGTATAGAGTCTGGCTAATTTGATAAATCAGATTAAACTGTTCATAGCTTATTCCTGTTATATACAATCTCTTTTGAACTCTAGGATGTATTTGATTCTTTCCATCCATATTTTCCCTCCTAGATATGTGAACGTAAATAAGTGGCACACATATAAAAATGCTTACAGAGCTGAGCTTTTTTTTTTTTAATTGAATCATTGATTTTACTAAAAGTTGTTTCCAAAAAATAAACAAACAAACAAACCTCCTGTTGGCCTGAAGGACTATTTTTAATAATAATACTATCTTACCTATTTATAGGGCTTAACAATATCCAAATGCTTTCACGGGCGCCATCTTGATTCTCTTAACAACCTTTTGTTAACAGGAGAAGCAACAGAGGATCAAAGACATTGACAGCTCACGATCCCATAAGTAGCAAATTTAAAAGCTGAGGCCCAAAGCGGGGCCTTTGGCACCCTGACACACTAGAATGTCCATCCCACCATGTTGTAAATTGGATTCCTGTGTTGAGTAGAGTTGGTGCCATTTTAAGAGTGTATTATTTTACAAGTCAATTTTGTAAGGCACTCCTTCACATTTCCCAGCATCCTTCATAATTTCCATGTACTTATAGTCTCATCCATGTATTATGTTAAAGAATTCAGGTTACCTCAAAAAAAGTGGTAAAGAAATTTCAGAACTGCCCCCTGCTGTGCTTTTCAAGGCAGCTCAATAGTACCATTTAAATAAGACTTCCAATTTTTTTAACTCTTATTCTAGAAAATCAGACCAAAATTAAGGACTTCATTCAACCTCCTAAAATCTAACTCTAGTCTGGGGAGCAGGGAGAAAGAAAATGAGAATGGGAATATACTGATGTCGTGACCCCAGAAAAATAAAATCAATGTAGAAGTCTCATCCTTGTCAATTTGCAAGTCTCCTTCTTTTCAGTTCTTTAAGCTCAGCAGGGCACTCAAACTCGGCAGGTGTCCCTGACCTAATACTCACCCTTGAACCTGAACTCCTCTTTCTCCCCAAGTGGGTATACTATGTATCAGGGTCACCAGGAGATCCAGCTAAATCAGCATTTATAATCTTATGTAACACCTGTCCTGGAGAATAAAGTTCATGGGGTCAAATGGCCTTATAAATTAACCACAACCCAGAGACCTCAGATATTTTTTAAATGTATGTATAGACCCAAAAGAAAAATACAGCACATGAGCAATGAGAACTTGTCCATCATGGTTATAATTACAATTCATAATATGCCCAGTCTCTACCTGCTTACTATAGCCTTGAGCAGCAAGTGTGAAAATCACTTGTGGAAAACGGTCCCAGAGGAATCAAGGTAAGACTTCAACATAGTCTCAAGTGTTGAAAGAATGGAATTGCTGGTAAGACCATAAGTACCTTTTGGGTTTGATGGCCACAGATGGTATATGGACCATACATCAATGTCTTAATTCAAAGGTAAATGCTCAATAAGTATTTACTGAATGAATGAACGTGTAAATGGATGAATGCATGTTGCAAAGACATTTAGGAATTTGAACATGGCCAGAAGAACACAAGTCCTGCTCCAACAAGCCATCCAATCCAATCTTCCTGTCAAGTCGAGTAGAGATCTGGAGTCACCCAATCAAGCCATGTTCCTCTCTGGCTAGAAACAGGAAAGACTGGCCCTTTGAACTAGTGCAGAAACAAATGAGAAATGGAGGAGCAGGGAAATCCTAGAGCCTCCTTTTCATTTTTTACCTGATCTTTTGACTTCTAGTGTTTCTGCTCATTAAACAGGAAAAAAAAATTGTTTGTAATTTTCAAAACATTTGCATGTGAACTCATTCTAGATGCAAACAACTTGGAAGGCACAATCACCAGAGGCTATGTGGTGTGCAGGGCCTTGTTTACAAAGGAGGTCACATAAAAATTAAAAAACACTAAAGAATAAGTAGTCCATGTTGTCCAAGGGGATGAGCTATGCAACCCAAGTAAAAATTAAAACCAAATTACATCCACTCATCAGCATTGCATAACACGCCCGACTCACTTGCATATGATGCAATTATTCCTGGTAGGTGATGCACTCAACACAGCCAGCTGGGTTAGTGTGTCTCCGGGGACAAGGGCTTTGGTTTCCTCCCTATGTGTTGGCTGTGTTCCTTCATAACCATGAAGGCAAATAAACAATGCTTCACAGCACCATTAGACTATGCGCGTTTGAAATAAAAGCAATACAGATCTGTGCTTGGCTAGCACTCAGGCCCCCTCACGTGACCAAGAAACTGTTTGATTCTAGGTCAGTGCTCCATTTCTAGAACACTGTATCTGATCTTGTGTTTTAGGAAACCATATTTGATTTAGGTTATATAAAGAATTCTTCTTCTTTTTCTTCACCCTGGACTGGCAAGTGAAGGGGACATTTTGAGATTATCTTCCTTGCACCAAGATCCCTTTGGCCAGCAAGTGACAAAGAATGAGTGCTTGCCTTAAAGATTCTATTGTTCTTGGAGGCAGTCACCCCTAAGGAGGAGTCTGGCAAGCACGATGGTGCCTGGCTGGTCTGCAGATCCCTTGAAAATCCACTCCGAAAAGACTGTCGGGGATCAGAATTGACCACGGTGCAACCCGTGTCAACATTTGTTTCTGCCTCCAGCTTCCCAAAGCTGTTTTGCAGGCTGAGGACTTTTTCTCTGGCCCCAGGCTGGAGGTGGGGAGAAGGCAGATGCATCTGGGCACCCAAGGTGGAGCTCCTGTCCTGGGTCGAGCAGCCAGGGCTTTTCCACAAGGTGCCACTAACGCTGTCTGACACAGGGCTCTCAGCAGACTCTGGGCACTCCAGGGAACCCACCTTGAGCCTCCTGGCCTGGCTCCTTCGGCATCTTGGCTCCAGGGTCCTCCTTGTGGAGACAGGGATCAGCCGGGAGCCCTGGAGAAGTGTGTCAGCTCCCAAGGTGCCACTGAGAAAGGAAAGTTCTCTATGCCTCACAGCAAGTCCGGGATTCAACTGGACCTAAGGGACAGGGGAGAACAAATTCAGCAGATGTTTTCCATTAACTAAGTGCCGAGAACAGACCATGTCCCATTCATCCTCTGCCATCCAGTGCCCCCAGCAGACTTTCAATAAAGCCAGTTGAAGTGAAGTAATAAGTACAACCTAATCACAAGCTATATCAGCACGAGCTCCAAACATCTCTCTCCCTCAGACTCCCTAAGTGAACATCCAATAAGGCGAAGATTCTGAGAATCAAATGCAACAGCACAGTTCTTATAGATCATGTTGTTCGAATGATGCCAAGATGTTCACCGATGTTATTTGGTGGCCTCACCTGGGTTGCAAATGATGTGTTACCAACTGTGGAAAAATAAGAACAAAAATCAAGAGCCACCAAAAGATAAAGATTGGAATAAGAATTCAATCTTCCAAAGTTCTTTCATATCATGTTAATGATACATATCTTGCGCTATTACAAGACATGTGGGCACTCCAGGCAGTCTAATAATTAGACACTTTTGAAGTCAATATTCTTTAAATCTAGGGGCACCATTTATTTATGGTACAGGCTATATGTAGTAGCATGTGGAAAAACATCCAAGAAAGGAAGTTCTGCCTATATGGGACTTACGGTGTCTTAATCTCTAGCAGTTCTACACTGTTTTCAAACTTATAGACCCTATAAGTCAGCAGAACTAACACCCTCGAGTTAACTGCTTTCTCCCTCTGCACAGTGGAGTTCACTGGCCCGTCTTCCATCCTTGGACTCCTGGGAGCCTCATCCCCTACTCTTTATACAACACTCTCACCAAGAAGATTTCTGGAAAAGACAGTTTTCTCTCTCCTGTCAGTAGCCCTTAGAAATTGGTATCCAGAGTCCATCCCTCCTGGCCCAAATATCAAAAAGAATGTACAAAAGAACCTTAAATGTATTTACTAAGTGAAAGAAGCCCATTTGAAAAGTCTACCTACGGTAGGATCCAACTATATGACATCTGGAAAAGGCAAAACTACGGAGACCATAAGGATGTTAGTGGTTACCAGGGGTTTGAGGGGAGGGAGGGATGAACAGGCAGAGCACAGAGGATTTTTAGGGCAGTGAAACTACTCTGTATGATACTACAATGGGGGATACATGTCATTACACACTTGTCAAAACCGTTAAAATGTACAACACCAAGAGTGAACCCTAGTATAAACTATGGACTCTTGGTGAAAATGATGTGTCTGTGCAGTTTCATCAATTGTAGCAAAGGCAGCGCTCTGGTGGGATATGGACAGTGGGGGAGGGTGTGCCTGTGAGGGGTAGGGGAGCATATGGGACTCTCTCTACTTTCTGCTCCATTTTGCTGTGAACATAACACTGCTCTAAAACTTTTTTTTTTTTTTTAAAGATTTTATTTATTTGACAGAGATAGAGAGAGATCACAAGTAGGCAGAGAGGCAGGCAGAGAGAGAGGGGGAAGCAAGCTCCCTGCTGAGCAGAGAGCCCGATGTGGGGCTCGATCCCAGGACCCTGAGATCACGACCTGAGTTGAAGGCAGAGGCTTTAACCCACTGAGCCACCCAGGCGCCCCTGCTCTAAAACTTTTTTTAATTAATTAAAAGAAGATAAAAATAGTGGTACATATTTACCTCACCAGGCAAGAAGGAAAAAATCGGATCAATAAGAAAGCCGGTCTAGAAATGAGTATATTATGGGATGCGTTTATATACGCGATCCACACACATGACCTCCCCTCAATTTCATCTCTGATAGAAAAGGTGGAGTGACTGTCACCAAACTCAAAACCAAAAAAGCTGCTTCCATCAATTCCTTTGGCATCAAAGTTGGCAAATACTTTCTGTAAAGGACCATACAATAAATAACTGAGGCCCGGTGGACCTACGGTCTTTCTTTCCATGACCGGACTCTGCCACAGAGTAGTCACGTACAATGCAGTAAGTGGGAGTGGCTGAGTTTCAATCTTGTGCGATTTTTTAAAAAGATTTTTATTTATTTATATGACAGAGAGAAGGGGAGAAAACACAAGCAGGGGGAGCAGCAGAGAGGGAAAAGCAGGCTCCCCAATGAGCATGGGGCCCGATGTGGGGTTCAATCCCAGAGCCCCAGGATCATGACCTGAGCTGAAGGTAGACACTTGACTGAATGAGCCACCAAGGCAGCCAATCTTGTGCAAATTTCATGCGTCATGACATTGTTTCCACGACCATTTAAAAATGGAAAACTATTCTGAGCTCCCACGTGCCTTCCACCTCTAAAAGACCCAAGTTAAATGAACGCTCTTTCCTGCTCCAACATTCAGTTCTCCTGTTACATCAGCTCTTCAGCATCAATACCTCCTTCCACGTCAGCTGGAGTCCAAAGACCATCACTTCAACGATTTCCTCACCAATACATCCAACTCCCCTCTACCACTCCTTTTCTGTCAAAGCCTCCCTCAAGACCTCCCAGCTCCATGTCCATCTGCATGCCCACATTCCCTGAACTTGTACCTTGAACTTCAAGCTGTCAAAGAAATGCACATGACTGCTCAGAGTGACATCACCATAATGGTGTGGTTTCCAACTTTGCCCAGTCTCTCCCCAGTCCTGTTGCCTTAGCCACCTGTCTTTTTGCCACAGGCAGCTATTTCAAACCTTCTGAACTGTCCTCAAACCTTCAGTGACACAACCTCTGCCCAACACCCCAGCTGAAGGTCTCACCATCTAGATTACAGAGAAAACAAAAGTCATCACCAGCTAGCAACTCTCAGTTGCCTGCCACCCAACACACCTACAACGTCACCATCCTCTCCACAAAGAAAGGGACCAGTCTGTCTGCACTGTGAATTCCATCACCTCCTGCCTTCCTGGCCACCCCAACTTATCAATGATTCATTTTTTCCTATGTTGTTATCTTGTTTCTCCAGTCTTTCTCTCTTCCTGGTACTCTGCCTACTCCTTTGCAACAGCAGTTAAGCCTGCTCAAGTCTATCTTGAATAATGTATTCCTTCCCTTCTCTCCCCTCCAGCTCTCTCTCTACTCTCCTTCACAGCCAAGCCTCACTATAAAATTTGTCCACACTCATTTATCCTAAACACCACCCTCCCTTAGTTCCCCTACCCACGGCACTGACTTTCCCTCCTACCAAGCCACTGAAATTGCTCTTGCCAAGATCATCTGCCATCAGTTTCCTTGTCACTCATTGTTACCCTGGCTCTGGTTGAATTTTCAAGGTTGATCTTTCCCCTTTACATCTGAAGTCTTCTTAAGCTTCTATGTCAACACATTCTTCTGGATTTTCTACTTCCTTTCCATCTACCACTTCTCAGTTTCCATTGCAGGAGCCTCTTCTCTTGTTAGTTCATTATACGTTGTGTTTCTTCAGTGCTGACCTGGGTTCTCTTCTTCCTTTATACACCCTTCTAGGGCAATCTCAGGGACATCTATGCCTTCAGTTACTATCAAAATGATGAAGTGTTCCAAAAGTATAACTACAGTTCAGATCTGTGTTTTAAACCTCATACTTCCCTATCCACTAATCTTCCAGGAACCAGCTACTCAAACTCAGCATGTCCAAAATTGAACTCATTTTCCTATTCATGCTAATTCTGTTCTGTTTAGTCTTTTCCTTTTCTTTGAACATTTTAGGCTCATGTTAGTCAAGCAAGAGCATCATTTTCCCTTCTTCATCCCCATGTCATCCATTCCCATGGACCCTGCCTCCCAGAAATCTTTCAGATTTTCCCGTCTATCCATGTACAATACCATTAACCGTAGGTCAGGCTCTCACCACCTCTAGTCTGAATTATTGGAATGGTCATATGATGATGGGGCCCCCATGGATACTCTTACCTCTGTCTAATCCTTCTCCACTCCACTACAAGGGGGAGCTTCAAAAACAGTTTTCATCATGCCACCCTCCTGCTTCCAGTGGCTCTCTACTCTTCTTGAAATAAAAATCAAAGTCCTTTAGTATGCCTTATCGCAGCTCTCACAGTTTGCCCCTTCTTCCTCCAGCCTGGTCATTTACCATTTCCTCCCTTTCAGCCTCCACCTGCCAAAATTGAACTTCCTGGATATTATTTGCTCTTTTCCAGTGCCAGTGTTTGTGTATACTATTTGCTTTGTCTAGGATATGTCTTCTCTAACTCTTTTTCCTAAAAACCCATGACCAACTCCAGCTTCTACATCATTTCCTCTTGGAAGCGTTCTTGATAGCACTGAATATGGGGTAAGTCCCCTAAATATTGGTTCTGCCACTTACTAGTTGTTGCACTTTAGACAAGTTACCTAATCTTGTGTCTCAGTTCTTCATCTATAAAAAGAGATAATCATAAGTACCAGCATCATAGAGTTGCTGAAATGATTAAATGATGACAGTGCCTGGGACATAGTAGTGCTAAATATGAGTTGGTAATCATCATAGTAATTAGTATTGTAACTAGCTCTTCTAGCAGCCTGTACTACCATATCATAGTAGATACAACACTTATGCACCTGCACACTTACTTATCTGTGTCTTCCTCTAAACTTGCCACCTGGAAGAAGGTTTGTATTCACCTTCTTTATTGTTGTATCTACGAACCTAGCATAGTGCTTAGCACGTGGTAAGTAACCACTAGTTGTCTTTTGGATATATAAGTTTAGCACCTAAAAAACTATAAATTTTTACATGTAGAAATGTATGGAAATGTAGAATCAATGTATTGGACCCCTAATTGTTTGGCATTAAGTAGTTATAAAGCCTTATCAAGAAAATTCAAAAAGGCTTTCATCATATGATTGGCAATTTCTGCAAACTTTTTAAGGGAAGGCAATGTCAACTTTTCTTTCTTCAAGAGAGGTCTAAGATCCTTAGATCACATAACGAAAGTGAGTGCAACATTATTAATGTAGAAATGCAAATATCTTCAGTTAGAGTGAAGAATTTCTAGGAGAAACATAATGCTGAATGATTGAGAGAAATCCCTTGAGAGAGAAGAAGGCTCCTCTTGCCAAAAAATAAAGTGAAACAGATTTGTAGGAATTCTGA